AGAAGAGAAGAGAAGAGAAGAGAAGAGAAGAGAAGAGAAGAGAAGAGAAGAGAAGAGAAGAGAAGAGAAGAGAAGAGAAGAAAATTCTTTATTGGCCAAGTGTGATTGGACACACAAGGAATTTGTCTTGGTGCAAATGCTCTCAGTGTACATACAAGAAAAGATACACTCATCAAGAGTCAAGAATCATCAGGTACAACACTTAATAACAGTCATAGGATACAATAAGCAATCGAATCATACTAGGAAACAGTCAATATAAATCCTTAGGATACAAGCAACGTTACAGTTATACAGTCACAAGTGGGAGGAGATGGGTGATAGGAATGATGAGAAGATTAATAGTAATAGTAATGCAGACTTAGTAAATAATTGGACAGTGTTGAGGGAATTGTTTGTTTAGCGGAGCGATGGCTTTCAGGGAAAAAAACTGTCCTTGTGTCTAGTTACGCATGAGCGATTCGAATATCCATTAGTCAGCCTTATCACACATGGTGGACCTGTAAAGCGCAGGACTTTTGGCGTAGAATTTGGTCATGGTTAGAGGAAATGACAGGGCTTAAATTTCAGTATACACCAGAGATGTTTTTATTAGGAATATTGGAGAAAAATGTAAACAAAGTTGACACCTATTTAATTATACATGTAACTACTGCAGCAAGAATAACATTTGCCCCAAACTGGAAAGCAAGAGAGATTCCAAATGAAGAAGATGCTTTGAATTGGGAAAATATTACACTGCGCCGAAATGGATAGGCTAACCCTAGAATTGAAAGAGCAAGATGAACTAGAATATTACAAAGTATGGAACACATTTTATAAATGGAGGGACATGAAAGGGTGTCCACAGAACTTAAATATGTAGAGAATGTGATAAAAAGGTACAAAAGATAAAAGGAAAATATGATCCATAAAAATGTATATACATTTATGTATGTATGTACATAAATGTATAAATGTATGTACATAAATGTACAATTTTCTTTCTATTTCTAATTGTAAAGAGATTGGACAGAAATGTATGTCAAAGAAGAGACACCATGTTCACTGTTTTTATTGTTTATATTTAATAAAAAAAAATTTTAAAAAAGAATATTCATTAGTCAGCTTTTAGTCAGGCGCATCCCTTTTTCAGATCTGGTCCTGCTGAAACCAGACAGAGACACTGGAGTTAGTGAATAGCCAAAATCTGTCAATAAATCAAAAGTCCCTTAAGTTGGATCAAGAAAAATCATAGTTCAGAAATAGTTCACAATGCAAATGAGGAAATGGAAGTTGGGATCTCTTCTCTTTACTCATTTTGTGTTTTCTTTCTTTTCCCTTTTTGCACGGAGACAGATATAGAACAGGGGACGCTCCAATCCCCGGTCTGTGGGCTGGTAGCAGTCCTCGGCCCATTGGAAACTGGGCCACGCGTGCAGTGTGTGCTCCATGTGTGCAAATGGTGGATGCATACGCCAAACCATCATTTCCCCTGCCCACCGCTGCCAGTCTTCAGAGACAAAAAAAGTTGGGGACCACTGCTACAGAAGAGCCATTAAAAGAGGGGTCTGGGCAGGAGATTACACGGTCCCGAGATGGAAGGGAGCATGAGGAAGAAAGTCAAAACAATCCTGCCTTGATTTTGTTCAGTATAAGATGAGACGGAGAGAAGCTTAGACCTTCAAGGTTCTTGTTATTATATCCTGCAGCAATAAAATAGCATTCTTGGATTTCCTGCTGTCTCTTTTTGTTGAACTGGCCTACTTCGAAAGGCTTACAGATCCAGAACAATCAAGAAGAGACTCAGCCTGAGGCTACGTGGCAGATGTGGCCAAACCACAGCATCCAACACTTCTGAATTCCGTCAGTTACCATAACTGGGTTGCAGCACCATTCTTTCATTGGGTCAATCTGTCATAAGACTGAAATCTCTCATTTTTTGGCATCGGCAGCCCCATTTGGGAAACTTTGAGCACGCTCCAGAAATCTGGGCTGTTCAGAAAGGTTGGTACAGTAGTATTAATGATCAACAGATGTGCCTTTTGGTAGCAATGCGTAAGCTATTTTTTCGCCAGAGGCACTATGTCAGGGCCGCAAAGGCAGTGAGGCAGCCTGGTAACTCCATTGTCATCAGTTTCAAATCATTCAACTTGTTCAACCTGAGCTCCATCGAAGTGGATCGTTGCTCAATTAATAATGCTGACGGTCAACATAGAAGTAGAACGACTGTGGCAAAAGAAAGCAAAGATAGCACCAATAGTAATAGGCATCTAATGCCAAAACAACCTGAACACCATCCGTTGGGAGCATCACTTGAACACCATCGGTATTGCCAAGGCATCAGTCAACTGCAAAAGGCCACTTTATGTGGAACAGCTTACATCCTACAACGATACCTCTAATACCATCAAACAATCACTTCTACCTATCCCAAGTTCTAGGGAAGGACTTGATAAAAATGCCAGATCTAGTTGGAAAATCTAGCTGACTGTGTGCCAAACCATAATTCTTCTCTGTGTGATAAGTTGGGAAGAGAAAGTATCATTGGCCCAAGTGTCATCCAATGTGCTCACAAGCTCTACAGTCAAGTAAATTCTTAACTTATTTCTCCCCTGTCCAACATCTTAACCTTTACACCATCCTGATATCCAATATTCTGTGAACCAACCACTGATGTCTGAAAATAATTGTTTACAGCTCCAAGCTACAATTAAAAGCAGCCAGGCTTGGTCAGTAATCTATGATGTAATGTATGAACCCTACCACTGAGTTGTTTTCTGCTTGAGGTTCAGTTCATTGGGGATCTTCCCATTACTAACCAGATTATTTGCCCTTTCCAAACCACAGTAAGACTAAGAAGCCAAGCGTTTCTCTCTTTCTCTATCTCTCTCTCTCTCCCCCTCTCCATTTAAGTAGGCCTCAAGGGCAGAAGCTTATAAGAAAATAGATGAAGAGCAACTTTCAGGAATTAGACAGAAATAAAATCGTGGCCATCTAACTGCAGGCAAGCTTTTTCTATCACTCAAGGGGACAGTGCGTGGGATACATCTACTTTAATTCATTCACGGTTGGGCAAACTATATATCTGAGAGGCGAATTAAACTGTGTCATTAATAAAACGTTATGTTTTGTTCCATTATCCCACTGAAACAACCCAACGCTGGCAGCGCCAAGTTCTGTCTCTGGCACATGTACCGCAACTCCGTTTCTCTCCCATTAAATAAAAGCCTTTTCACTAAAACCATGTGTGGCACAAAGAAAATGTGAGTTCTCCCCTTCTAATGAAGGTCATTACGAAGGCTGAACATTCTTCCCTCAATTCTTGGTACCTATCCAGACATTTATACAGGATAAATCTCAGTTCTCAAACATGTTTGCTTGTGGGCCATACTAGCTACCTAGATTTTTTGTGCTGTACAGCAGTGATCCCCAACCTTTTTTATGCCACGGCCCGGTACCGGCATCAGCTGGGCGCCGCGGCCCGGTACCGGCATCAGCTGGGCCCGGCCACCTTTTTTTGATGAAAAAGTGCTTCCGGTGAGCTTTCTACCCGGAAAAGCTCACCGGAAGCACTTTTTCATCAAAAAAAGATGGCGGCGCCCAGCAACCAGCGGCCCGGTAGGACTTGTTCCGCGGACCGGTCCCGGTCCGCGGACCGGTGGTTGGGGACCCCTGCTGTACAGCATTAGAGGCAGTCTGGGAAGGCCTGAATCAATATATCTACAGAGATTCTCAGTCATCCAGGTCATGGTTGTCTCAAAGGTGTTTTTTCAAAAGGCAACTGGACTTTGTTTTTCCTTGAGGAAGAAGAAGTTTCACTTCTCATCCAAGAAGCTTCATCAGTTCTGACTGGATGGTGGGAGATATGGAAGGATCCTGCCATTCTCAGTACTAACACCTCCCCTCATCCAGCCAGAACTGATGAAACTTTTTGGATGAGAAGCAAAACAATAATAACTACTACTATTACTGCGACTACTACTTCCTTATTCCTCCTTCTTTCTTCCTTTCTTCCACCTCCTCCTCCTCCTCCTTCTTCTGAAAAACATAGTTCAGTTGCCTTTTGAAAAAGCGCCTGAATCAATATTCCCCAACTGGGCTGTCCATTCGTTTGGAACTACAGCTCCCATAAACCTAACCAGCAGAGATGAGAGTTGTAGCAGTGAAAGATAATATTGGATTTGATCGAGCTTGCTAACTTAACAGTACAATAAATGAAAAATAAAATGCAGTTCTGCATTGGCTATTTGGAGCTGAAACACAGCATTGGTCAAGATGTTCTGGTTCCTTAGTATAGCTACATTATCAATGAATTATAACAAGCTGCACATTTGGATGTACTCAAGGAAATAAAGAACAGGATGCCCCTAAATAAGTTGAACAATTCCTCATCAGTTCCCAGAACCACAGATATCCTCTGGGACAAATATTCATGGATGGTTCATCACTAACACTACACTGTTAAGCATTCTTTTCAGCAATCTAAGTTAATAACACACCATGTAATTATTATTGCTACTATATACCGTAACTGGAAACCAAAACCCCTTGCGTTTGCTCATATATTCATTTATTAATCAAATTTATACAATGTTCAGTTCACTCTAGTTTTATTGTTGCTGTTGTTCGGTCATTAAGTCATGTCTGACTCTTCACGACCCCATGGACTGGGTCTATGACAATTCGCCAAAGCCAACGTGCCACAGCCAACGTGCCACAACCAACGTGCTGTGGGACAACTCACCACAGCCAATTCCACCCTAGGACTACTTGACACAGGACAAGAGTTACACTAATATCAAAGAAATAGTGGAATAGAATCATTAAAGGAAGGATGCAAAAGGAGAGACAGAATGAAATTTGAATGGCAAAAATT